GGGCTCCTCACTTTTGTCCCAGCTGTGCCGGGCCTCCAGTACCCTGCCAGGCCCCTCCATGAAGCACTGCCTCCTCCCTCTCCCACTTCTTGAGTTTGTTTTCACTTTTGTTTCCTTTTCTGTCCTTTCATTACCACTCCTAATGGTATAATTAGTCTCTGTCACGCACCATCTTGAACTGTTTCCTGACGCTTCCTATGTGTCAGCGTGCCTCTGACTAAATTGTTCACTCTCTGAGGACAGGGACCAGGATTTTCCTTCTGTTTGTCACAGTATCCCCACACATCAGGTGACCAGTAAATACTGTGGGTAGATAAAAGCTTGGACTGATGGGTGCATGGTGCTGGCAGGGTCACCCTACTCCCTGGCCAGACCCTGAAGCTGAGGGATTTTCCACTAAATTGGGATTCTCCAGAGCTGGAGGCAGAGAGGATTCAGCCCATCACCACTCTCTCACCATTGACTGTGCTGACTTGACCTCCCTTGGGAAGGATTGGGAAGGAGACCTGACCAATGGCCTTAGTCTGAGAGCCTCTCCACATGTCCTTAGAATCAGATGTTCTTTCTTCCCCCTGCAGTACTGGGGCTTGAACACAGGACCTCACACACACTGGGCAAGAGCTCTGTCCCCGAGGTGCTCCTGTCCTTTTTATTTTTTGAGACTGACAACTTGCTAGGAGGACTGTTGGTCAGTTACACTCCTCCTGCCTCAGCCTCCTGAGTCGCCGGGATTACAGGTGTGCACCGCTGCACCAGGCCAGCGTCATTTTTTGTACATATCCAGTGTCCTAGCACCACAGGTTAAAAAAAGTGATCTCCCCTAATTCACTTATGTTGGCACCCTTGTCAGAAATCAGTTGACCAAGCCGATAGGTTGAAACAGGAAGATTGAAAGTTTGAGGCCAACCTGGGCAACTTAGCAAGACCCCTAATCAAAATAAAAACTTTACAAAGGGCTGGGGCGTGTAGCTCAGTGCTAGACTGCCCCTGGTTTAATCCTTTTTTCCTTTTTTTGTGGTGCTGAAGATTGAACCCAGGGCCTTGTTCATGCAAGGCAAGCACTCTACCAACTGAGCCCACTTTAAATCCCCAGTAATTTAAAAAAAAAAAAAAAACCAAAACATTATTTGTAAATGTGAATTTGCTTCTGCACTCTCTGTTCCGTTGATCTACATTTCATGCCTGTCCTCTCCATTCTGTTCATCTGTACTGTGCATCCCCCTGCCGATGCCACACTGTCAAGCTGGGGTGCTGGTAAAGAGCATGCTTAGAATGCTAAAGACCCTGGGTTTGATTCCCAGCACCACACTGAAACAAAACAAAACAAAACAAAAACAACACCATACTTTCTTGATTCCCAAAGCTTTGTGGTAAGTTTTGAAATCAGGAAATGTGTGAAGCCTCCATTTTTTTTCCTGGATTGTTTTGGCTATTTTGGACACATAGCCAATTCTTTGTTTTTTTGAGGGTTTTTTTTTTTTTTTTTTTTTTTTTTGGGGGGGGGGGGGGGGGGGGTACTGAGCCACATCCCCAGCCATTTTTTTGTATTTTATTTAGAGACAGTCTCACTGAGTTGATTAGGGCCTTGCTTTTGCTGAGGCTGGCTCTAAACTTGTGATCCTCTTGTCTTAGCCTCCGGAGCTGTCAGGATTACAGGAGTGTACCACCACCCCCCACCGTAGCCAATTCTTGGTTGCTTGTTTTGTTTCTCTGGGGGAGTGCATGTGTAAGTGAAAGTCCCTCGCCCTCCTCTTCAGCCTCCCTTCTCAGGGCACTCGCTAATAGAGGTCTAGGCTATTCTACTGAGCTGTCTTAGTCCTGGGCAAGGCTGTAAACAAGGAAGCTTGTGGGATGCACCTGGCCCTTCAAGCAGGTGATCTCAAGCCAACCAGTCCCACCTCATTCCCTCCTCCTCTTGCATGGTTGTGCTTGGCTAATTTTAATCCACTTCAGCACCATCACCCCAGCTGCCTTCTCCTGGCCCTCCCTACACATGATTTACGACAAAATGTGAAGAACACTGTCTGTCCTGTCAAGAGGGGCTAGCGTGGCAGCCTGGCCTTCCTGGTGGCATTTCTGGTCACCGTTTTGTGTTCCTTCTGTACCCAATGGGAATGTCGCCTAAGTTGCAGGCACTGATTTTTCTGGTGGGTGAAACTTTTTTTTTTCCCTGAAGAGCTTTTAGTCCTTGCCTTAAGGGGGGGTGGGGGGGAGCGTAGGAGGGGTGAGTCAGAGGGTAGAATTTTCTGGAAGATCTCAAAATCAGCTGACCTACTGCTGGTTCCACAATACTGTGGACTTTTTTCAGAATACAGCCCCCAGCTGACGGCTATTTTTTTTTTTTTTTATGACTAAAAGTGATCAAGGCAAATACACCTTCATCGTGTCTGGGTGGGGCAGCTCTCCCCTCGCCTTCCTGCAGAGTAGGTGGGGGTAGTTTGTGCCTTGAGATGGATTCACGCAGCACCACCGCCAACAATACATACTTGCACCTGCTCCAAACCTGCCCATATCAGCACTTCCTCCCTGGCTAAATAGGGATGGGGCAGTAGAAGCAAGTGAAGATCCAGTAGGAGGAAAGCATTCTTATTATCAAGAATAATACTAGTTACTATTTATTGAATGCCTTCTTTGTGCCAGTCTCCATGCCAGTGCTGAAACTAAATCAAGTGGGATAAAGGAAAGATTTCCTGCCAGGCGCCATGGTGCATGCCTGTAATCCAGCAGCCTGGGAGGCTGAGGCAGGAGGATCGTGAGTTCAAAGCCAGCCTCGGCAACTTAGTGAGGCCCTAAGCAGCTCAGCAAGATCCTGCCTCTAAATAAAATATTTTAAAAAGGGGCTGGAGTTGTGGCTCAGTGGTTAAGCGCCCCTGGGTTCAATCCCCAGTGCCCAAAAAAGAAAAAGAAAAGATTTTCTTGTATCCAGAGCCATAAGCAGGTATGTTTTGAGCATCTACTCTGTGTTGAACCCTAGTTTTAGTTCTTTAGAGGTCTGAAAGAGGTCCTCTCCATGCAGATTCTCAACCAGTTGAAAACTACACAGGCCATCAGCTAGAGATCAAAAATGGAGATTAGATTGTGGGAAAAGGCTGACCAACACATGGCTCAAACCTACAGCCAAAATGCATTTTTGCCCCTCTTCCCCACCCCCTCCTTTTTTTCTTGTTTTCCTATTTCCCAGTTGAAATCCTATTTCCAAGGATTGCTGCAGAGCAAGAAACGTGGAGAACAGGACCACTAAAGGGATCTGAGGACAGTGAGATCCATCCTTTGGGCTGTCTCCATGAATCTAGGCTCTGCTCTGTGACAGAATTCTAAGTAGTCCTGAGCCTGCCTGATGGTCACCCACTCTGTTTATCTCACCATAAAAACCTGCATCTCTGGAATGTTGATGCGGATCCTCCAAGTCTGTGCTTTGCATGCTCCATGAAACTTGTTATCCATTCTGATTTCTTTATAGCCACTTGGCGTTCTATGGCTGCACAAGTGGGTTACCCTGTCTGAACCCTGCTTTCTCATCTGTGAAGCAAAGATGTTAATACCCAGTTTATAGATGTTGGGGGCTGGTGATGTGGCTCAGTGGTAAACACTTGACTAGCATGCACAAGGCCCTAGCTGCAATATCCATATCTCCCTCCCTCTCTCTCTCTTTCTCTCTGTGTTCACTCACACACATACACACACACACGTGCAATAGTGCACACCTGTAATCCCAGCTACTTGGGAGGCTGAGAAAGGAGGATTCCAAGTTCAAGGCCAGCCTGGGCAAGACCTTGTTTCAGAAAGGGGTAGGGATGTAGCTAGCATTCACTGGTCAAGCATCCCTGGGTTCAATCTCCAGTACCAACAAAACAACATAGGTGTTGGAAGGATTGAAGATCAAGTACTTGATCAGGGCCTGACACATCATAGGCCCATGGTAGGGCCACCTCAGTAAGCCTGGTTCAGTACCCTGGGGAAGCCTTCATCTATTCTCTATTCCAACTCTCAGCTTTCTCCCTGTGTGCTGAGCAGGTCTAGTTGGAGGCCAGATGGTCAGAGGCAGGACTGTGTGCTAAGATTGGAAGTGTGGATCTGGAAGAGCTTAGGTCTGGACTGAAAGGCAGGTATTGGTGTGGGAGGGATCTGCAGAGCCCACTGTCAAGTGGGGGACAGGAGAGGCAGAGTTGGAGGAAGTGTCAACATTCGGCCTCCTGCAACTCCATATTTAGGACTGTCTGAGGTCAAACTGTGAAGTAAGCAATGGTTTTCACAAGGGACCTCACTTCCTCCTTCTACACCCCATTCTACTCTTTCAGCACCCCGCCCTCAGGAAACCAGGAAGTCAAGGGTCTGAAACACAAATTCACTCCAAGACAGCAGCAAACTATGAGTGAAATCAAACCCATAACCTGATTTTGAATGGCCCCTGAGCTATATATGGTTTTACTTTTTTTCTTCTTTTTTTTTTTTTACAGTACAAGGAATTGACCCCAGAGGTACTCTACCCTCACTGAGCTATAGCCCCCTTTTTATTTTTATTTTGAGTCAGGGTCTTGTTAAGTTGCTTGTGCTGGCCTTGAACTTGCTATCTTCCTGCCTCAACTTCCCAGATAGGTGGGATTATAGACATGCATCACTGTACCTGGCTGGTTTTTACATTTTTAAATGGTTGAAAAAGATCAAAAGAATAATATTTTGTCACACATGAAATTCATATTTCAATGTCTATAAACAAGTTTTATTGGAACACAGCCATCTGTTTACAGAAATGTCTAGTTCTGCAGGTGGAACTAATTCTGTCCACATGGGAATAGGGGCATGAGATGCCAGGGTACACCTATGGCTCATTCTAGCAGTGTAAACAGTAGGACTTAGGAGGGGATTCACATCTACCCACTCCCTTGCCCAGCTGATGGCAGGGATTTTGTCTGAGACCCTTCATGTTCTCAGAGTCCTGAAGGATTCCCCATGGTGGCCCCGAACAGTTCATTCATTGCTCTCTCCTCCCATCTCTGCAGAATTTGCCTTCTGCCAGGTGGATGCCTCCATAGCTCTCTCCTTGGCCTTGGCTGTCCTGTGTGACCTGCTTCAGCAGTGGGACCAGCTGGTTCCTGGACTTCCCATCCTGCTGGGATGGCTATTAGGAGAGGGTGATGACCTTGTGAGCTGTGTGGAGAGCACACACCAGGTAATCCTGGGGACTGAGGGCACCAGGAGGTGGGCCTGAGTGTCCTAAACCCACTGGCGCTAAGAGGCTCAATGGGCCTAGTGAGCTGGCTGCTGAAGTGTGCTTCTGAATGCTGAATGCAGAGCAGGGACGGATCTGGAGATTGCCTGCTGGTGCTGCTGGGGGCACTGGGAACACTCCCGCACTCACTCCTGGCATTCCAGTGGCAAGCCTTCTGGAGAGTTGGTGAGGGAACTTTGAAAGAATTTACTTGGATGCTGAGAGTATAATTATGAATCATGCTTATTAGTCAGCCTTGAAGTTAGTGTGGGGCTCCCCACAGTTAGATCTAGGGGTGAAGCATTTCCAGAGAATTAGGGGTCCTTCCAGGGAACTTGCTGCTTAAAGAAAATATTCACTTGGTGGGGGCGTGGTGCAGATTCAGGTGGGAAACTGAGGACCCAGCCACGCAGCAAAAGTATCCTGAGAACGGAGATTCATCAGACACCAGTGTCTGACTCTGCTGGCCAATTTGGCATCCACAGCAGGCCAAGAGTTCAAAAAGCAGCCTGTTTACGGGAAATGTGGAGACCGTGATAAAGTGTTTGTGATAAAATGACCTTGAAAATCTGCAGCATTTTAGAAATCAGGTCTCAGAGGCTGCTGTCTTGAGCTTGGTAATTCCTTGTCCATTTGTCTGCAGCTAAGAGGTACCTTCCTCCCTCTTTTGATTTCTCCATGTTCCTTAAGGTCTAGGGCCTACTCCCTTGTGGAGGTSTCCTTTTCAGCATCAGGCCCCCAAAATATCTTGGCTTTGAACTACAAACACATCTTTATCAAAGGTCATGTTAAGTCTGGGGGAAAAATTCCTCTGTGGTGGAGAAGTACAAGGAGTGAAAATAGACAGTGACCTTCAAGGCTGCAAGTGGTGAGGGTGTGGGTGTTGACAGGTGGGAGTGGGCCCTCTGTCGGGTGGGAGAAGGGACACACCTCTTGCATCTGGCAGGGCACTGCTTGGTCTGACTGGGATTCATCAAYGTTCCCCGTAAGGTTGACTTTGGGTGTTTTCATTTGATACAGGAGGAAGAAGACTACCTGTTTGAAAAAGCAGAAGTCAACTTTTGGGCCGAGACCCTAACTTTTGTGAAATACCTCTGCAGACACCTCTTCCATCTTTGCAAGTCTAGGTGGCCTCCCTCTAGCTCTGAGAGGCTATGTCACCTGCAGAGGACAGTGTCAGAGCAGCGCCACCACCTCTCTCAGCTCTTCAGAGAACTTCCACCCACTGCTGAGTTTTTGAAGACAGTGGAGTTCACCAGACTGCGCATTCAGGAAGAAAGGACATTAGCTGGCCTGAGGCTGCTGGCCTTTCTGGAAGGAAAGGAAGGAGAAGCCCCCTTGTGCTCAGAGCCACAATCCTTCCTGCAGAAGCCAGTCAGCTAACTCCTAAGAACAGAAGCAGCTTTTGGCTCTGGGTACATTGGTGCTCACCCAGCCATTCTGGAGGCAGAGGCAGGAGGATTGCAAGTTTGAAGCCAGCCTCAGCAATTTAGCAAGACCCTATATCTCAAAATAAAAATAAAAGAATAACTTTTTTTTTTTTAAGGGCTGGGGTAGTAGCTCAGTGTAAAGTGCTTGCCTAGCACGCATAAGGCCCTAGGTTCAATCCCCAGTATTCCTCTAAATCTGCAAGAAACATGTCAAACATGAATTCAACTATTTTCCCTTCATGCCTGCCCCATTTCCGTGAGTCTGGGCTTGCAGAAACACGTCAAACAAATTCAACTGTTTTCCCTTCATACCTCCCCCATGGCTGTAAGTCTAGGTTTCTGTCATTTCCTACAGGGGAGATTTTTCTTCAGTTCACTCATTCAAGGCAGCCTAGTTTATTGCAGCTACTGTAGGAAGTGAGGCTACCACACTGAATATTTATTCTGTCTCCAGGTGCAGGCCACCTGCAGGCCTGAATTAGCCTTTTCTGTCCCCCAGGACTGCTAATGTCCAGCCATAGCCGCCCTCTATGTGAATTGACTACATAGAATTGAGTTCTAATATACACATAACTCCCCACTCCTTTTTGTTTTTTCTTTTTTGGGTGGCGGGGGGGGGGTACTGTATGTAGGGATGGATTAGTTGGAAAATAGCCCATTTGGTCAGATTTCTAAATTTTATTCCATTTTAGCAAAGCAGAAAGATGTTCCAAATGTTGGATCCTGAGAGAATTAAGAAAGGATCAACCTCCTGCAAATAATTTGTTTTTATTATCTGTACGTGTAAGTCCTGAAGTGGTACACATTCCATCCTAATTATTAAAAGAGTCGTGGAGAGTCCCTTCTATCTCTCCCCAAAATATGTGCTAATGTTAGGGAACCTGATTTTGCCACCCTGTGAAAGCCTGTAGTTTGGTTGTTAGAAGGAACACAGGGAAAGGAGAGCCAAACCAAATGATTTTTCCATTTTTATGCTCACACTGTTTACCATCATGTGCTTGGTGGCAGTAACAAGATTCTCATTTAAGATGCCAGCAGACACTATCCATTTCAATGATTTAATCTAGAAACCTTAAAGGTTTTCTGCCTTTCCAAGCCCAGCCCAGTCCTCTTCCTCGGATACCCAGCAGGTGGCACTCTTGCATACATTTTGCTGCTGGTCTTGTATCTTGATGGGCTTGCCATTTTTAATTTACACTTTCAGAGTAAGTGTTACCCACGGTTATCTTGAGATCACAGCCCCATCCACCTTAGTTTGAATCATATTATATAAAGTTTTAGGGCCTGTGAATTTTTAAAAATACTTTTCAGGGGAGTCGTCACAGAATTTTATTGAAGGTCTAAAGGCACAGGTTAGAGAGGAAAGAGTTCAGTATGCCATTTCTTATGGCAGAAGAGCAGCGCTTTCAAGTGTAATTTGTTTCTCTGAGAGAAAACTATCCAACCGGGGCTGGGGATGTGGCTCAAGCGGTAGCGCGCTCGCCTGGCATGCGTGCGGCCAGGGTTCGATCCTCAGCACCACATACCAACAAAGATGTTGTGTCCGCCGAGAACTAAGAAAAAATAAATATTAAAATTCTCTCTCTCCCCCCTCCTCTCTCACTCTGTCTTTAAAAAAAAAAAAARAAAGAAAGAAAAAGAAAGAAAGAAAACTATCCAACCCTAAAAAAGCCCTGCTAGAAGCATGGAGAAAGGGCTCTGCAGGAAGAGGAGTAAAGAAGTCAGTTCCATATCCAAAGTTCCATCCTGAAGAGAACAGGAAATTCCCTGGTTGGTTTCGCAGCCATTCAGCCCCAAATGTGGTTTTTGTGATCCTGAATTAATTACCTAGTTAGGCATCTATGTAGCCCACACCTGATGGAGAGTTGCCAACCTAATACTTTTTTGTTCTAAGGCCTAGTTGGTTTGAAGTCAGGGATTGCTGGGGTAATTTGGTGATGACCATGGGAGAATAATTCTGAGAGGGACCCAACAAAGCCCGGCTTGTTGGCAGAGGACAGCACTCCTCCTTTCCTTATTTGAAATGAAATAAAAGCAGTTATGTAATAGTAAAAATATTTCACACTAGCAGGTACTCTGTACCACAGCATGTATCAGAACATGTTTACATGTTATCTCTAGAATCCTACCAGGTCTACACAGTGGGTGTTCTACCACTGTTGACTGGGAATTATCAGATTTTTATCTTGGCTGGCTATGGCCAGTCTGGGAGGGCTGGAGGGACAGATGTTTCCACTGGTTTTGTATCTGAAATCTTGTCATTAACCTGATATCAGTAGCTAGGGAATTAACTGGCTGCTCCACACGTTCCCGATCATTTCCCAGAGAAACCTTGAAGACTACTCTCAGGCTCTCAAACTCTTATGCTTGTGGTCATTTCAACAAAGAATAAAGAAGCAGCTCACCCTTGTCTAGAGGCCAGTGCAGCATGGGTGCAAAGAGTGAAGAAGTCACCTCTGCCAATTGTCACTTCCTACTCTTGGTGCTGAGCTCTGGGGTCCAAGATTTGGGTGGCCCCTGACTCTGTACTCATGTTTCTATAGACCTCCATCCATCTAGTGGTAGCCAAGGCCTGGCTTTTTCTATTGGCATGCTTTGTCCATCTGTTTTAATACGTAAGATAGCTTGTACTTTTGAGTCTTTTATACACCTTTACAGATATCACATTTGCACTTTGACAAAGGTGAGGGATGAGTAAAGAAAGAATTTTATCTTTTTTATCTTTGTTTTACAAGTAAGGAAACCTGAGTACCAAAGAGATTATGTGATTCAATGGACCATTCAATGGATACTAGGGACAAGGCCTGAACTCCAACCCTACATTTCTGATTCTAAAGTCCTCCCAGTCCTGCCTGGACTCCAGCTTCTTGAGCAGTAGGGGATTACAGAGGTGGGACAAGCACATGGGACTCCTGTTCCTTGAGTGACAGGCCTCCTTCCATCCCAGGATAACTAACCAGCAGAATGGACGGAGTACAAGCAGACTAGAAAGGTCAACTTAGGAAGGGGTTGTGGGTCAAGGTTCCTTCCCTGGCAGGTCCTGGACCGTTTAGCTAAGACAGGCCTAAGTGGGTGAATTCATGGGCCAGTCTCCAGCTTTGGGGCAGCTGGTACTGAGAAGTGCCCTGGACCAGACTCCAGATCGTCAGAGAAGGGCTATTGGCGGCTTTAGCCTCGCTGGGCGCTAGGTGGGGGTGTCCGCTCCGTCTCGGGTCTGGAGCGGGGGGCCGATTGGCAAAGCACATTTCCCCTAGCAAGCTCTTGGGCTGCGGGTAGGCAACACTGGGTGCCCCCACCTGGGCCGCGGAGCTGCCGCTGCGGAATTCTGCAGACCGCACAGAGCTAAGGCGGAGCACTGTGACCCCCGCAGCCGGGGAGAGTAAGGACTTGGAAGGCGCGACAGGTCAAGGCTACGCTGGGCAGGAAGCCTCGGCCGGCAGCTGTACCCCAATCCCCGAGAGGGTTAGGAAACACCAAGCCGACCCGCAGACTGAAGGGGTAGAGGAAGTCGCTTCCATGCCTGTACTGCTGTCCCGGCTTTCCTCCTGTCCTCTGAGTCGGCTCCCCCGCCCCGGACGCCCCGCGCCACTCCGCGCCTTTGGCCCAGGCTCAAGGTCTTGTGATGTGATTAGCAAAGCCAGCGCCTTGTCCTCAGACACTCAGCCCAGCCCAGCAGGCCCGGGCTCTCAAGCCCTGTTTACAGAGCTTGGGCGGGGAGAGGGGCGGAGAAACGGGCCCGGACTCCTCCGGGCTAGACTGCCGTGGCAGCCGCCCGCGTGGCCGCTCCTGCCCCCACCCCCAGAGAGTCTCCACGTGCAGCCAGGCCCGAGCTGCCACCTAAGGGACTCAAGCCTAAAGCCCCTGCCCCTTGTCCGGGGCACCCTTTGCCAACCCGCCAGGCCAGGCGGACGGTTGCAATATTCTTGCATTTTGCAATTCCCGCGCCCAGTACAAAACCGAGGGTCGAGATAAAAGCTGCGCGAGTCAGCCTAACAGGATCGGGCGGGGAAAAACACGTCCAGAATTGCAGAACCCCGGCCACATTGAACGTGCTGGGGCTTTCCAACACTGAAACCCCAGAGGCGGAGAGAGAAGTATCTTCCCGCCGCCACCCAGCAGAACCCAACTGGGCCGAGTTCTGCATGCCTCCCCGGCGCCCGGGCAGCCTGCCCCGCCCCGAGGCCTCCCCGCCCCCTCCCTCGGAAGAAAAAAATTGGCGGCGACCAATAGGAGACCAGGAAGGCGCTTGACGTCCGCCAGCCGGCGGGCGGCGTTGCCTGGAGACCCCGGCGGGGTCATCGTTCTGTCCCCTCCCCCGGCGCGCCCGCCCCGCCGCTGCTGCACGCCCGGGCTCTATATAGGGCGCGCGCTCGCGGGCCGCGGAGTTCCAGCAGTCCGCGAGCTGCCGTCGGCTCCGCGCGGGGGGGCGGGCCGGGCACCCCGGGGCGCCAAGGAGCGCTCTTTGCTTCTTTTCCTTTCCCCCCACTCCGCACTCCAGGGCACCCTCTGCCCAGTCCACGCTGCTTCCTTCTCCCTCTCTTCTCGGACCCCAGCAAACTTTCGGTCCCTCCCCGCCCCTCGCCCGTTATTCGTCGTGGCTCGAGCTCGGCCGCGCCGCCCCGAGGGCTCCTCCCAACCACCCTGCCTGCAGCTCCGACCATTACAGGACCCAGAAACATGTCGACCACACTTCTGTCGGCCTTCTACGATATTGACTTCTTGTGCAAGGTACGCGGGGGAGCGGGGAGGGAGGAAGGCAGGCAGAAGAGCCTCAAGTTCCCAGACTTTGCTTTCCGACCTCGGCTTTTGGAGGACCTTTTCCACCTTGACTTTTCGGGTTGGGAAAAATCCTGGAGTTTGCAGTAGTGTGTGCTAGCGCCTTGTGGGCGGGGAGAAGGCGGAAGGGAAGAAGGGAGCGGCTGTAGCTGTTTAGATTCTCCGGAGCCGGCCGCGGCCACGCTGCCCAGGGCTTCCCGGACAGTGTTTGCGCCGCCCACCCCACCCCAGCGGCCCATGAGCCGAGGATCACATGTCGAAACCCAGCGCGGCCCAGGTGGGCGTCCTCCACTCTTCGTTCCTCGCAGCGTGAACTTGGTTTCTTTTGCGCGTGTATGGGTGTAAGCAAAGTCGAAATCCGCAGGGTGGGGGGGGAATGGAGGGACGAATCCAGGCTGGGAGTTAATTAATCTGCAGCCCCAGCACTTCTCCCTTTCCGATTTTCACCCCTTCCCCGCTCCCCCCTGGCAGACGGAGAAATCCCTGGCCAACCTCAATCTGAACAACATGCTGGACAAGAAGGCCGTGGGGACGCCGGTGGCCGCTGCCCCCAGCTCGAGCTTCACGCCCGGCTTCCTCCGACGGCACTCGGCCAGCAACCTGCACGCGCTCGCCCACCCCACGCCCAGCCCGGGCAGCTGCTCGCCCAAGTTCCCGGGCGCCCCTAACGGCAGCAGCTGCGGCAACTCGGCAGCGGGCGGCCCGGCCTCCTACGGCCCCCTCAAGGAGCCGTCGGGGGGAGGCGGCGGCGCGGCGCTGCTCAACAAGGAGAACAAATTCCGGGACCGCTCGTTCAGTGAGAACGGCGAGCGCAGCCAGCACCTCCTGCACCTGCAGCAGCAGCAAAAGGGAGGCGGCGGTTCACAGATCAATTCCACGCGCTACAAGACGGAGCTGTGCCGACCCTTCGAGGAGAGCGGCACGTGCAAGTATGGGGAGAAGTGCCAGTTCGCGCACGGTTTCCACGAGCTGCGCAGCCTGACACGGCACCCCAAGTACAAAACGGAGCTATGCCGCACCTTCCACACCATCGGCTTCTGCCCCTATGGGCCGCGCTGCCACTTCATCCACAACGCGGATGAGCGGAGGCCTGCGCCTTCAGGGGGCGCCTCAGGGGACCTGCGCACCTTCGGTGCCCGCGAGGCGCTGCACCTGGGCTTCCCGCGGGAGCCGCGGCCCAAGCTGCACCACAGCCTCAGCTTCTCTGGCTTCCCATCCGGCCACCACCAGCCCCCTGGGGGCCTTGAGTCGCCCCTGCTGCTCGACAGCCCTACGTCGCGCACGCCTCCGCCGCCCTCCTGCTCTTCTGCCTCATCCTGCTCTTCCTCCGCCTCCTCCTGCTCCTCGGCCTCTGCGGCCTCCACGCCCTCCGGCGCCCCGACGTGCTGCGCCTCGGCAGCGGCTGCAGCCGCAGCTGCGCTGCTCTATGGCACCGGGGGCGCCGAGGACCTGCTTGCGCCCGGAGCCCCGTGCGCCGCCTGCTCGGCTTCCTGTGCCAACAACGCCTTTGCCTTCGGTCCGGAGCTGAGCAGCCTCATCACGCCGCTGGCCATCCAGACCCACAACTTCGCCGCCGCGGCCGCCGCCTACTACCGGAGCCAGCAGCAGGGCCTGGCGCCCCCCGCGCAGCCCCCGGCGCCGCCCAGCGCGCCCCTCCCTGCCAGTGCGGCTGCGCCGCCCTCGCCGCCCTTCAGCTTCCAACTGCCGCGCCGCCTGTCCGACTCGCCGGTGTTCGACGCGCCCCCCAGCCCCCCGGACTCGCTGTCGGACCGCGACAGCTACTTGAGCGGCTCCCTGAGCTCCGGCAGCCTCAGCGGCTCCGAGTCCCCCAGCCTCGACCCGGGCCGCCGGCTGCCCATCTTCAGCCGCCTCTCCATCTCCGACGACTGAGGCAAGAGGGCGCCAGTGAGAAGAGGAGGGGAAAGACCGTTCTGGGGTGTTGGAGGCGCCCTCGCCATCTCTTCCCCCGTTGGGGGCTCGGGGTGAGATGACAAAGCCACAGGAAGACTTGCAGGCCCCACCGAGCACTTGGACTCGAACTCTGTGCTGGGAGGGACCCCCCTCCCTTTTCGGTTTTCCCTTGTTTATTATTATTATTTTTATTATTATTATTACAAAGTTTCATTCTTGTTGAGCAAAAAATGCCAACGAACTTTTTGTATTGATGAACAAAATATTCACAACAGGGCAGTTGTGATGCGAATAAGAACAAAAAAACCAAACACTTAAAACTTTTTTAGGTCTCCAATGAATTTGGGACTCTAGGAAAAATCAGCCCAGCACCAGCAGCTATCAACCACCATTCCAGCTCTTCACTTGAAAAGCATTAGTTAGAGTCCAGATGTGGGAACTTCCTATCTTGAAAGAAGTTCTTAATTATCTCAGACCAGTGTAAACAAACCAGCCAGCCACCACCTTGCTAAAACTATAAGCTTTTAGAATTCAATATTCTGCCAAGAATATGCCTTGATAGTAGCCCTCAGCCCCATAGGTTTTTCTGGGGGAGGGGTTTGTTTGTCTGCTTGCTTTTTGTTTTTAACAAAGTGATATATGTCTGGGGGAGGGGGACAGACCCTTGCATTCCAAAGTTTCATACTGGTTTCATTACCACCACTTAGTGGAAGTTTAGTTTAGGACCATTTTTGTCTGCTCTCTGGAAGCCTTGGGCAGAGCTTAGTTTGTAATTGTTGGGGAATAACTGCTGAATTTTTAGCTGTTTTGAGTTGATTCGCACCACTGCACCACAACTCAATATGAAAAAAAAACTATTTAACTTATTTATTATCTTGTGAAAAGTATACATTGAAAATTTTGTTCATACTGTATTTATCAAGTATGATGAAAAGCAATAGATATATATTCTTTTATTATGTTAAATTATGATTGCCATTATTAATCGGCAAAATGTGGAGTGTATGTTCTTTTCACAGTAATATATGCCTTTTGTAACTTCACTTGGTTATTTTATTGTAAATGAGTAAAAAAAATCTTAATTTAAGAGATTGTATGTAATATTTATTTCATTAATTTCTTTCCTTGTTTACGTAAATTTCGAAAGATTGCATGATTTCTTTACAGAAATCTATCTTGATGCTGTGGAAGTAGTTTGAGGAATATCTTATGAGTTTTCTTAGAATGTAAAATGGTTGTAGCCTATCCAACTTTAAAGGAAAAAAAAAAAAGAATGGCCACATACTTTGCAATCAGGCTTACATGTGGCATACTTTTCTAATTCCAACTTTATATACTAGCAAAAAAAATGTATTTGCTGATTCCACCAGTTCTACTGTGACATACTCTTGGGTATAAAGACATGTAGCAATAATGGGGGGGTAGTCTCACAGTGCCTTCAGAAGGGCCCAAACTTGCCTTAAATCTTCCTCAACCAAATAAGTATTTTGTTTATTAGTGCTTGAGAGAATTTGAATGTAGGATGGGTTCAACTGCACAAAAGGAGAAGATTTTTACCACTTTTTTTATATAGCTATAAAGTGAAGAGGCCACCTCTTAGTGCTGAAATGGTATGTAGTACATGATATGCCTTGTTTAATTACAGAAAATTCCAAAACTTGTACTTTTTTTTTTGGTGTAGAAAGGCAGGAATGTCTCCCAAGCTTTCCTGGACATCGGATGAATGAGTAGTAGCTTAGTTTGTATGTAGGTACAGTTGGAGCACTATGTATGTACTCTCTGGACTACTTTGACAGAAGTAGGTTTTTGAATGTAACAAGATAAGTCAACTTGAGTTGTAATATATTTTGGGGAATCAGTTCACTACAAATTGTGACTGTAAACATTGTACTGTAAATGTTTTGTAGTTTTCCCCCAATAAAATCTTTGGGAAAAGAAATGTGTAAAGCAGCTTTCTTTTTTAAACAGAAGTGTCTAGCTTCATGGTCTTGTCAGGCAGTCACCCAGGTGGAGAGGGTGGGGAGAGGATGTGGGCAGCTGGCAGGTCTCAAAGAGCCTACATTTACTTGTATGTGTATTTATTTTATAGCAAGTCCTTTCAGCTGAAAAAAAAAAAAATGTTATTTGGACTGTCAAGGGCATTAGTTAGCTGTTCCCTAGTAATAAGATGCATCCCAGTGTTGGCTAACTGGCTAGTGGCAGGGCCTGGCGGGAGACCTCAAGGGGTGTGGCCCGCCAGTGAGTCACCCTGAGGATCACATGGCTGCAGTGGCAGCTGAAGGTCTTGATTTTTCTCTGGGACTCCTGCCCGCTGGTGGCCCTAAGGGCCTTAGAGTGCTGAGCTAGAAGTGCAGTTTAGGCCTGGCTTGGAGAACTGGGGCTTTGCCTGGACTTTGGAAAGCCCAGTTGTGTCCTTGTTGAGAGAGGAGGCGAGGGAAGATTAGGCAGGTTAAACTTCTATCTGGATGGTGTTTGTTTATGCAGACAACTTCCTCTGGGAATGAGCAAATACGAGTTATTTATGCAAAAGGAATTAGTGTCTGGGCTTTGGATGATTATAAGGAGGCCAGAAAGCAAATTCAACCCAGGCCTCTAGAAAAAAAAAAGAAAGAGTGCATCAGTTTTCCTGCTGGTTTTCTAAACAGTTGAACACAACTTTTACTATGGTGACTCCAGTTTTTTTTCTACTCACTTTAAAACAATCTTTTTAAAAACAAACTCAAGTTCATAAATCATGTTTTTCTTCTCGACCCCCTTCCCCCCAAGGCTCACACACAGAAATCAGACACTTTTTCCAAAGTAGGTAAGACATTTAGCAATATGCCTTATCAACAGCTGGGCTCTATCAGCCAATCCCCTCTCGCGTGCATCCCCTCTCGCTGGCTCTGCACGAGCCAAGGGCTCTTGTGACTCACAGCTGAGCAAGGAGGGGTGGGGGCGTCTGGTGGATGCGCCAGGCCTAGGCAGCTGTTTCGCGTTAAGGATGATGGCGCTGGTGTTCACTGGAGCGTTTTGGTGCTTGGCCCACGCTGCCAAAGGGGACGGGGAGCAGTTTCAAAGTTCTCCCAGATGCTGGGCCTCAGCGGCAGGGGAAGGGAGGGGAAGCCTGGGGCCAAAGACGGCTCAGACTGGGTGAAGACCCTGCAGCTCACTGGCCTCTCCACCATAAAGAATGTGCAATGGGAGGAAACTTCTAAAATGTGGTGCTGTTTAGGCCAAGCTACATTTCAAAGGCCTTGTTTCCACTTCACTCCCAGGCTTCTTTTTCTGAACAAGTACTTCTGATGAGCTGGAATGTTAGATTTCTTATTGGCTAAGGCCCATTCGTTTTTAAAAATTGGTCTGTTTGAAAGCCCAGCTGCTAGGATCTGAAGTTTTGTATTTTACACCCAGTGGAGCGTGGAAATCTAGGGGGATCATTCAGAAATCTCCTCTCACTGCATATCAATGGTGGGTACTGGTCATTGTCCTTCTGCAGCGGCTGGAATTAACAGCAAACACAGCTCTAGTAGGGCTTCATCACCCTCAGGACGGTTTTCTTGTAAATTCAGGAAGTAGAAGTAAAACTTGCAAGTAAGAACAAACCAGCATTCCCATCAGGGACTGGAGAGTGGAACTAAAACTGACTGGCTCCAAGGCTGAGTCAAGATCCAGGTCATTTGTGAGAAGGAGCCCAGGAGGTGACGATGGTCAGCGTCTTCACAGTGGCATTTCCTACCGGCTGTTGGAAGACGAAGGTGTTTTTTTTTAAGCTGCCCAATTGGTGTGCGCCACCTTCTTAATTATTTCAGAGAAAGGACGCGTGCGTGTACATATTTTCCACCCCTCACGCTGTCTGAATCTCCTGCTAAATGTGTAAAAGGAAGAAAAAAAAAACATACAAAAAAGCCATTGAGAGGCCAAAGCTGTACACTGTCCCTTGGGAATAGATGGAGGATTGTGAGCCCTGCGGTGGCTCAGGAACCAGGATAAGAGCCAGGCCTGGTGGGCTCCGGGTGCAGGAAAGGCCAGCAGGCGTAGGTCCTGCCTGCCAGGTCCGCCCCAGCACGAGGGCACTCGGGGTTGAAATCGGCCCCGAGGTCGCAGAAAGATCGCCGGGTGCGCATGTGCACCGAGGAACGAGCACCCGGCCCCAGGGCGCACTTGGAAAGGGCCGTCCCGGGCACCCGCTGTGCTCCAGCTTTGCTTTTGAGGGTAGACTCTTACCAGAAACCGGAAGTTGGGTCTCTGCACAGGCCTTAGAGGCTGCCCAGCTGCGGGGCTGAGGCCGGTCAGACTTACCTCCCAGCAGGGACCCAGAACCACTCTCCATTGTCACCTCATTTCCCAGTATTTTTTATTTCTTGTCCACTCCGGGGCGGGGTGGGGGAAGCGTTCAGAGCTGAGGCCTTGGGGCACTCGCAGCCCGGAGCGGCTGGCTGGGCCAGGGGGAGGGGGACAGGCGGGGAGCGCGGGGCGGGGCCAGGGCCTGGGGGCGGGGCCAGGGCCTGGTGGCCCGACAGGCCTTTCCCAAGCGGGCCCTGCGGGGAGGAGAGACTTGCAGGAAGGGGGCGGGCGCTGGAACCCACTGCACCAACCTCTCCCAGCAGTAGACTGGACCCTGCACGAGTGTGTGAGTGTGTGTGTGCCTGGATGTGTCTCTGGAGAGAGCTGTTGCGGGAGGCTGTGTGGGAGGTGTGTTTGTGTGTATCTGGGTGCTTGTCCTGTGGGTGCCCAGTGTTTGCAGTGTGGCTGTGTGCAGGTGTTCAAGGAAAACACTGTGTGGCCCGTTGTGTGTAGTGTATGCAGGAAGGACGGTGGGTGGATCTGTGCTTCTGTGTATAGGTGTTGATGTGCGTGGGGTCTGTGTGGTGTGAGGATCTGGGGGTTCAGGGTCTGGATGTGTGTGTGGATCTGTGAGTATTGGTGTGTCTTGTATGAGTAGGTATTGGGGTGTGGGGGTCTGTGGGTGCTCATCTGTGTTTGGGTCATGGTGTGGTGTGTCTGTTGTGATGTGGGAGTTGAGCCATTCACAGTGCCACACACCTATGATCCCTAGTTACTGAAGAGACTGAGGCAGGAGGATCAAAAGTTGGAGTCCAGCCTCGACAACTTACTAAGACCCTGGCTCAGAATAAAAAATAAAAAGGGCAGGGGTGTGGCTTAGTTGTAGAGCACCCCTGGGTTCAATCCCTGGTATCAAAAAAAAAAAGGAGTGGGGGGGGGTTGGGGTTGGGGCTCAGAAGTAGAGCGCTCATCTAGCACGTGCAAGGCCCTGGGTTCGACCCTCAGCACCACATAAAAATAAATAAATAAAATAAAGGTATGGTGTCCAACTGAAAAATAAATATTCAAAGAGGATGGAGGCTTGGGGACTGTATGCAGGGGTGTGTGTATATGTGTGGGTTGGTGCACGTGTGTGAGTTTGTTGCTGTGGGTTTGGGTGTGCCTGTGAGTAGCTATCAGTGGGAGGTATTGAGCCTGTGGGGAGTGAGGAGCTGCTGGTAGGCTGTGTTTGGGTCTGTGCGTCTGTTGTGGTGTGGAGGTGTGTCTGTATGGGGTGTGGGTTCACCTACCAACACCTCCAGAAGAAAGGCCGTCCCTCTGAGCAGGCCTCTTTTAAGTTTAAAAACTGCTTTCAAAACCCGGAAATGACTGCCAGGCTGCCTTCCACTTCCTGCTGGGTGGTGGCAGGACAGGGCTGAGTGGGAGCCCCCAGGCCCCCCACCTTCATTGCTGGGCACACCTGCCAAGGACAGGCCTCATATGCCCTTGCAGTCTCCAGGGACATTTTTAGACACAATTCATGGGGGGGGGGGGGGGCTTTTATTTTCATCTGGGCAGAAATAGCTCTTGTCAGATAGGAGTTTATGTGCCCAGAGAAGAGCTCTGAAATAGAAGGAAAGATATTAAGGACTCGAGACAGACCAGAAAACTCCTGAGCTCTCCAAAACCAAGTTTAAAATATTTCTCTAAAAATAAGCTTTGTTTTCCTTGTGGATTCCTCTGGCACTCTGTCAGGGTGCTTAGCTGGCCTGGGAAGCCAGGCGGAATTTTTTTAAAAAGCGAGTGTTTCCCAGCTGTGGCCTTGGAAAGTTCTCTGTTTTCCATTTATTAAACTCCTAGTTTCCGGCTAATTAAAATTATTTTCAAATAAAACTCTGTAGCCCAGCAATACTTGATGAAACCCAGAATTCCCAGTGACCCCTCTGCAGGAGGCAGGCCAGCTGTGGGGCAGCACTGGCTCAGCCGCTGGGTTTATGGGCAGGGGGCCCCTG